GGTTTTCCTGATGCTAAATCCAGCCTTGGAGAAGATCCTTTCTGATGGTGTGCATCTTTAGATTTTCTTATCCCAGACATTTTTAAAGATTTAAATCCCTGCCGACAAGACGCTCTGTCGGTCACGGATCGAAAGTGAAACTTAAATCTGTCACGGGGTGTTTGGATTTATTCACGCTGCACGCACGTTAAAAAAATATTTATTAAAAGCTTCTTTCTTTGCACATTTTTATTGACAGCATTATCATAATAGGCTGTATATTAACGTATTGACAGAAAACCAGTAGTTCTATGTGAAATCAGACATTGAGCACACTCATATAGCCAAAATGACATAATCCTCGTTTAATAACACATCTGCGAAGATTCGACCGTGAGATTGGTAGTCGAATCAGGCTCCTCCTATCGAAGCATCGAATCTTCGACTATTCGGGGTCACCCCTAATTTTTACTGTATTTTTCATCAAATAAATGCACCATTGGTAAGCATAAGATGCTTCTTTTCTACTAAAAGCATAAAAAATTCTTATCAACTCTAAACTTATGAATAGTAGTGTAGTTTTTCCATCACATACTAACCAGTCTCATGGTCAAATGGGTCCTCATAAAAACATTGAGGCAGATTTTGTTCCTCAATTATTTGTTTTGGTGACCAATGTGTAAGGATTTTCATGATCCTTGGCCATTGTTGGGATTGGGATTGTTATTAACGTGAATTTTATCTACTCCATAATAGGTAATAACAGGTGAAATCCTGCTGCTGCCTGAACTCTCCTTCATGACTGGCATCCCTGAGAAAATGAGGAAAGATTTTAGAGCCATGAAGGTACGAATCCATCACCAGTCAAACAATCTTGGCACATTAACAAGTGTCGAATTGAGTCAGTTGGGTGAACTCTTTATTTTGGAAACTGTTCAGATGGGGTCACACCGAACTATCCCTCTTGGTCCCTGTGTTTCAGGATCTGACCATGCACATCAATGTGGGAGCCGAGCAACACACCCAGAGTCTCAAACAACTGCTGCACAACATCAACAGCAATAATGAAGCTCTCTCAGAGCTGGGCCGCTGGGGCCTCAGCATCAGCCAGGAGATTCTAGTGGTGAGAAAGGAAACTCACACCTCCGTACTGTACTTGACAGTGGAATTTAGTGTAGGGCCCTTTTTTGTTTTAGATGTATAGTAAAAGAGAACTTTGTTTCAACTAGACAAAATTAAGCTTTCATTTTATCCAATGCAAGTAGTTTTCAGAATCACTTATATTGACACATACTGGTCATATATGTGTACATCTGTGTTGTTCACCCTTTTAATTAACTGTATTGATTGGCTTACCGTCTTTTTCATTCATCGTGATCCATTGGTGTTCTTTTAGTTAACTTGAATTACTTAAATGTTTTGTTTCTGCACAGACTCAAGGAAGAATTCTGCCCAGCGAGACCATCTGCTTACATGCAGCCTCTTTCGTCACATCTCCGTCAGTAGACTGGTCCAGAGAGGTGGTTCGAGACCCCTCCATCAGCACTGTGAGTCAGAACAATCAGAGCAGAGCTCGGACACGGCGCAGGGTGTTTGAAAAAAAAATAAAATCACTGTAGTCATTGGTTTGCGGGGGAGTGGTCAGAAAATGCACAATTGATGCTGACGGTCTCACACCATAGAAAGAAAGCAGCCTCATTTGGCTTGATTGGGCCAGGGTAGTCTGACTTCTGAACAAAGTGACTCGACTTATATAAATGAAGATGACTTGACTTATAAATTGGTTTGTTTTAGTGAAAGCAAAAACGTATAGCTGGACCAGTGTAGTGTGATTCCTGAACAAAATCACTCTTATTGAGCAGGTTTGTTTTTAGTAAATCAAAAAAATACAGCTGGACCAGTGTAGACTGATTGAATTAATGACTCTTATTATCCATTTTTTGTGAATCTACTTAATTAATCTCTGGCTGAACTGTAAAAGAGAAGATAATTAGGCTGTATAAATTATCTTTTGTTGTTTTGAATGTGACTAAATTGAATTTGAAAGCCCTGATCTTTCACATTGCACCCTAGTTGTAGTTCATCCTCTCTCTGTCTCCTGTCCCATGATTCCTCTCTGTCAGGTCCCTCTGAACTGCTGGGCTGTTTTCTTTCCCCGGCGGGCAACCGATCAGGCAGAGGAGCTGGTAAACACTTTTACAAGGGTAGCTGGACCAATGGGCATCAGAGTTGAGCGGCCCATCCGCGTAGAGTTACGGGATGACCGAACTGAGACATTCGTCAAGAGCATTCACTCTCAACTCACCAGTGAGGTGAGGAAGAAAACTACACAGATAGACCTTCGAAACTGCAATGAAAAAAGTTTACTATTCTCTCAAAGAACATCTCCAAGGACCATGGTTCTTTTGGCTTTGTAGTAAATTGAAGTATTATCTAAATACCATAGTAAATGAATATAGTTCTTAATTTGGCTCAAATCAGTTCTCTTCTGGTTTTCAGCCCCGTGTGCAGCTGGTCGTGTGCATCATGACCGGAAACAGAGATGACCTGTACAGCGCCATCAAAAAGCTCTGCTGCATCCAGAGTCCAGTGCCATCACAGGTTTGAGTGAAACACAATGTCTTTGCATTTTTTTTCTTCTTCCATGTTTTTAATAAGATTCATATGCTCAGCAAGCCTGCAGTTATTTGATCAAAACACAGCCCAATTTGAAATACAGTGAAATTACAGTTTAAAATAACTGTTTTCTATTATAATATAATAAATAATAAAAAAAAAAAATTTACAGCCATTACTTCACTCTTCAGTGTCACATGATCCTTCAGAATTCAATGTTAAAAACAGTTGTGCTGCTTAATATTTTGTGAAAATCATGATGCCTGTTTTTCCAGGATTGTTTGATTAAGAAAGGTCAAACGAATAGCATTTGTTGGAAATTTTTTTTTTTTTTAAATTCAAACAATTTAAAAGTGTTTTGATCAATGTAATGCATCCTTGCTGAATAAAAGTATTAATTTCTTTGGGGAAAAAAGCTTATTAGCACCCATTGAATAGTAGCGTAGATTTAACAGTAATTAAAATGTTTTTGACTGAAAGACAACACCTTTAATTTTGGAAATGTGGTATATTTTCATGTGAAGCAGAATATTCAACATGAAGAAATCTATACAATACAGTCATACATTCCATATCATGTCTGAATCTCAGTGACTCTTAATTTTATAGGCCATTAACGTGCGGACCATCTCCCAGCCACAGAAACTCCGCAGCATCGCTCAAAAGATCCTTCTGCAGATTAACTGCAAACTGGGAGGAGAGCTGTGGACAGTGAATGTTCCTCTGGTGAGTGTGTGTGAATCAAACCTTTTGCCCACGGGTGGGCCTGGAGTTACCGTACTGTGTGTCACTCAGTATTTGATTTAAAAAGAAACTGCTCAAGTAAATATTGAGCATTGGGAATGAACTTGAAAATGGTCACTGCACAGTGAGAAGCAATATACGATAGCTAGGTGTGATCCATTGTCTAGTGTTTATTTTTGTTAACGCATTAGTTTCGTGGGTTCACATCTTGATTTTCCTCATGAGTATAAAACTGTTCCTCCATATTTTAGGAGACATTACCTCAAAACCAGCAGCCGCAAACTCATTAATAGTCTTGAGTTGGCAAGAACAACATTAAAATGGCATTAGTATTAATTTGATTAAATTTCATTGTAAATGACTTTTCCCACTTTATTTATCTTTGTTCACAATTTTTTATAACCTATAATAGGAAGTAATGCATGATAAAGAAAAAAGGCATGAACTTAAGAGCCCTAAGTGTCACGCATTATTCCTTCTGAATGGTATTGATGCTGGATTGTTGCAGAAAAAAAAATATTAGCAAATGGGATTAACTAAAAGAAGAACTTCTATCCACTAATTTTCATTGGAACAGAAATACCTGATGGTGATTGGGGTGGATGTTCACCATGACGCAAGCAAGAAGAGCAGATCTGTCATGGGCTTTGTGGCAAGTCTCAACAGGTAACTTTATGAAATATAGTGCAGTTGGACTCATTTAACATCCCAAATCACAAAGTACATAAACTCTACCATTCAAAAGTTTGAGGTTGTTTTTGGAAGAAGTCTCTTATGCTTATCATTTATTTGATCAAAAACACAGCAAAAACAGTAATATGACCCTTCAGAAATAATTCTCATATTCAGATTTTATATATATATATATATATATATATATATTAGTGCTGCACGATTAATCGAATCGCAATCGTAATCGCGATGTCAAACCTATGCGATTATATAACGCAAAATGCCGCGATTTTATATGAACACAGCATCTCTTCTTTTTTGTCATCCTTTGACTAGTGTTACATGATCCCGCTCTTATTCGTGCAAATGCCTTAAAACCATTTTGCACGACAAGAAGTCAAAAGAGAGCGCGCTGCCTGTGAATGTCCTGAATGTGACTCAGAAAAACGCGCGCCAGTATAATGCGCATGCACAGACCGCGTGCCAGAATACAGTTCTCTTTCGAGCTTGAACGAATAATAACACACACACAATTATGCCAAAATGTCGTTTTGTCGATTATCTTCATAACATAAGAGCAGTCTTATGATGGACAAAAAGAGTTGTGCTTGTGAGAGAATGAGGCGCGTGAGAGATCCGCGTCTCGGCAACGGCTGCTCTTAAAGAGCCAGCAGCGAATAAAGCGTTCCGTCAGTAAAGTTAATCAAAGAACAAAGGGAACAGAAAATTACTCACTGCTCTTGACTAAAGAAGTTTTGTGGGTTTAATAAGGATTAGTCTATATATATAATTTATAATTCATGCAGCGCAGACTGTTTGATAACTTTATTCAATTTCTGTAAATAAATCTGTATATAAATCCTCAATCCTACCTGTTAAGACAGGAAGGGCACAGGTAAATATGGCATTTATTATGGGTTTATGTGTGGATTGTTTGAAGTTCATTTAATTTAAAAGCTGTTATTATTATTTTTTAAGCCTAATAAATATTTTAAAAGTTGATAGCTTTCAATTGTATTGATGGAATCACTGTAATGTTGGATGGCTATAATTAACGTTTAAAATGTGGGGGGTGTCGTCATTTTTATCCAGACATTAATGGTTTATTGATCATTATAGGTGTTATCAATCATTTAGTTGTTGTTGCTAGTTTGAGTTGAGAAATACACATTAATACACAGAATGATCACTAATCTGTGTGTGCATTTTACTTTAGAACCAAGCAAGTTGACTCATGAAACCATTTGTTTATTATATCGCAATCGCAATATTGACCTCATTAATCGCAATATGACATTTTCCCCAAATCGTGCAGCCCTAATATATATATATCTAACACATTCCTTATTATTATCAAAAGCTAGGTTTCCATCCACCTATTTTAATGCAGATTTTGGGATATTGAATAAAAAAACACTGAATGGAAACACTAAGGGTGCTTTCACACTAGCTGGGTTTCCATCCAAACGTGAAGTGAATCTTTTCAAAGTTAGCAAAAAAACAAAACACATGCGAATTAGGTGCGTTTCCATCAAGTTGTTCGAGCGGATGACAGTGGTATTGGTAACCTAATATTTTTGTGATGACGTAAATTGAACGCTAATGCACCAGGGTTTGATAGAATCAAGTTAAGTGTAAAACCAGACCAACGCTACAGGGTTGCCGGGAAAAATCCCGCTCTGACTCAGACCGCAACAAACGTTCCCAGTGTGAAAGCCCCCTAAGATGCACATAAATTCTAAAAATGTGCATGAAAAAGTGCAGTAAATTTGTCCGATAAGAAGACATGCGATGGCAACACATTTACTGAATAAACTGCCTTAAGTAATGAACGGTGATACTGTTTCCCAAGCGGCTTTCTGTGCGCGTGAAATATATAAAAATAGAGCCACAGTGGCTTCCTCGATAGCAGCAACATTTATTTTTATCACAGATATTTTGCTCCAATTTCTCAGATAGACAATTTTGGAAACGCTGCTTTATTCGCAAATGTTTTATGCGATTATTCCAATTGCAAATTTATTTCTCAACTGTTTGTGTTCACTTAAGACGGTTTTTAAAGAAGACGAATACTCACCAAGCTGGGCATTTTTGCATTTCTGTGTGTTTTTAAAAGCTCAAAGTTCACTTTACTTGTTGTCCGTGTTCCACTCCTTCTCGGAAGCACGCGCACAGAAAGCCGCTTGGGAATACTAAGGCAGTTTTAATACCGTAAAACTTCAAATAGTAGCCCGGGCTTTTATTTACCCAAATCGTCGAACTGCACCGGCTTGTATTTGAGACAGGCGTCTATATGAGACAGGCCTTTATAATTTAGTGTTGAGATGTTGTTCATTGAGTGTATAGGCCTATCTCTAATCTCTAAAAATCTCCAAATGCTCCACGTGAAACTGCGGTCTTCCGACCTTTTACTATCGCGTCAATTGATTTTGATTAATATGCGCGAGGGAGAGAGAGCAAGACAGCGCTCGTGTTGTTGACGTGAGAGTGCGCGCGCGCGGCCGGGGCGCTCTCTCTCTCTCTCTTTCTCTGCTCGTAACGCGCCCTGTCAAGCGCAGCAGTCATTTTATTCTACATCACTCGCCGATCAAAAAAAGGCTTTGGAGGGACAAAAATGTGCTTTGGCGGCCGCCAAAAAGCGGCCGATCTGGCGGGTTTGAGGATTAAATACAACCCGAAACTAAAAAACAGACCCGGCCTCTATTTGAGACCGGCCTTTATTTACCCAAACCTGCAGCCACACCAGGCGTGTAAAAGAGACAGGCGTCTATTTGGGACTCGGCTATTATTTGAAGTTTTACGGTAATTGCTGTAGGGTTTAATAATCATTGCTGTAGGGTTGCTATCGTTATAGTGTCTCTGCTCTCCGCAAAGACGTTGCAAATTTATTGTCCTTTTCAGACACCTGGTAGAACTGCCAGACTGGTGAATGTAGTGAAGCAATTTTAGCTGCGCATAGAAATATTTTCCGTCAACTGATCCGCTCTTCTGATCGGCCTTTATAGAGACCACCGATCAAACTTTACAAAGCTATTATCGGCAGATAACAATCGGCTCCCGATCAATCGGAGCACCCTTAGCAGAAATTAAATTGCGCTGCTTACAAAGCAGCACATGTGAGATCTTTGAATTAGACCTAACCTAACCCTGTGTTTGTCCTGGTTTAGCATGCTGACCAAATGGTACTCCAGGGTCACCTTCCAAATGCCTCACGAGGAGATAATCAACGGCTTCAGAGTGTGTCTGTTGGCTGCCCTGCAGAAATACTACGAGGTAAAAACACACAAATATTAATCAGATAAAATATAGGCTCTACAACAAATGTCAAATGACAGCTCTAGCCTTGTCGAAAGGGAGTCGGTCGAAGGCAAAAATTATTTTTTCTATTTCAATACTCAACAGCTTAGGTATTTTTACGCTTGACCATCCTACCATTTTATAAACAGGTGAACCACGCCTTCCCCGAGAAGATCGTCATCTATCGCGACGGCGTGTCAGACGGACAGCTTAAGACCGTGGAGCTTTACGAGATCCCTCAGATTCTGAAATGCTTCGAGACCATCCCGAACTATGAACCGAAGCTGGCTTTCATCGTGGTGCAGAAAAGAATCAGCACCACCCTGTACTCCTATGGATCAGACCACTTCGGCACCCCCTCGCCAGGAACCGTGCTGGACCACACCGTCACTAACAGAGAATGGTTAGAGAGCTGAAGCTTGTGCTCTGTGTGCAGACTAGGGTTCTACAAACAGCTTTAGCAGTGCCTAAGGCTGGGTATCGTTTAAAAAAAAAATGGCGATACCGGTTCCTGAACTATACTTTTTTCGATACCAATTTTATGAAAATAAAAAACATTACAACATTACATTACCTAAAAAAAAAGGTGGTTAGATTTTTTTTCAGTTTTTTACACTCATTTTGAGTCTATAAAAAAAACACCAATGCTAAAGTTATCTATGTATCCTAATCATTTAACAACATGTAGGCTATACTTTAAATGAGCTCGTTGTTTCTGCCTTAACTTTTAATGCATTAATGAAACTGAATGAAAATTTAATTGAAATGGATTACTTGCACACAGTCACCTCTGATAACAGATCACTCTAAATTGTAATTTAGTCGCATGCATTTTCTGCAAAGCTGCTTTGAAACGATATGTATTTTGAAAAAAGCTACAAATAAATGTGAATTGTCTTAAATAGGCTTCTGGGCGGGCGGGATATGCCCCGCAAAGCACTGGCAAAAGTAGCCTAATGATTATGAATGTCGGGAAAAAATAGCAAGGAGACATTTGAATTGTTTATTAATAAACTAGTGTTTTCTGAGTCTGTTGGCTGCAAAGATGAAGATGCTGACTCGTCATTTCTGCGGTATAGTCAATGCGTGCGCCTATAGAGAGAAATTCACCTTTTATTTGGATTACATAATCAAACTATTTGTTTCAAATTGGTTAGTTTAAAAGAAATAGGCCTAAAGACTCAGAAAACGAGTCTTTTCTGATTCTTTGTTGGCTGCAAAGATGAAGTTGACAATGCTATCGTCATTCCTGCAGTATAGTGAACGTGTGGACGCCTATAGAGGGAAATGCACCTTTTATTTGGATTACAATGTATTGCAATTTGTTTCGAATTGGTTCGTTTAAAAGTAAACATATTTTAAGCTTCTATAGGCCTAATTCTCATGTCTGTGAGGCAAGTATTCTATACGCTGAGTTTCGGTTAATTTGTGACGCGCTCCAGTTCTTTTTGCAGTCGAAGACGGATTAACTTTCTGCTCTCAAGTTTATTCTGTGCGCTGTTAAGTGCTTCATCAGATTTGTCGTGTTGCCGATCTTGGCAGCAGTCACCTTGTCGCTGCTGGCATCGAGTCTGGTGAAACGTAGATACACTTGATCTTTTCCACATATTTTCCATCTATGTGGGTTAGGACGCTTACACACACACTACAGCCTCACGTGCGAGCCACGTCTTTTTGGGCAACCGCGTAAACTAGTGTTTTTCCTCCACAGCCAATCATGCTGCATGCACTGACGTTTACGAGATTAACCCCTTAAGTATCAAAATTTGGTACCGAAAAACAAGACAATGTTTCAATACTCGATAGTATCTATAGTATACTCGAGGCAATTCGGTCGGTGCCTAAAAAGTATCGAACTCGATACCCAGCCCTAGCAGTGCCCTAGAATCTGCAACGTGATGTGCACAGCACAGATCTAGTCTACTGCATTACCGGGAGGAAATAAAATGTGGTATATGTATTGACATGTTTCTCTTCTCTCCAGGGTGGACTTCTACCTAATGGCACATTCGATTCGACAGGGTTGCGGCCTGCCCACTCATTACATAGCAGTGTACAACACTGCAAACCTCACCCCTGACCACTTACAGAGGTAAGAAAGTAGTTTAGTTAACTGGAGCTGTTCAGACGAGTGTATATTAAACAAAAAATCAAATTAAAAAAATGTATTTATTTAACTTTTTCACAGGTTGACCTTCAAGATGTGTCACCTGTACTGGAACTGGCCCGGAACGATACGCGTTCCTGCACCTTGCAAGTACGCCCACAAACTGGCCTTCCTGTCTGGCCAGTACCTCCATTCAGAGCCTGCTATCCAGCTCTCAGAGAAACTGTTCTTTCTGTGAATGAGACCCGGTCAATGTCTCAGCTGGACCCCAGAGGGGTGGTCTTCATCTTCGAATCTTTGTCTTTTCTTCTTGGTTTTGTTTTATTAATGTTCTTAAGAAGTGCTGTTCAAAATGTTCTTTGCATGTAATCTGAAACATCCTACAAGTGTTTTTTTTCTCTTTGTAACACTTAGTTGATCGCTTTTGTGGCGCATTACTGAATAAAGTGCATGTCACACTTAGTTTTTTTCCCTCAGTGTCTTTCTCATCAGTGATTGTATGAAAATAATGCTCAGTTGTGTAGCATGGCAGAGCCAGACTTCATTCTGTATTACCAGATAATTTTTTCTTGGGAAATGGAAAGAATAATTCGGTAACACTTTACGATAAGGTCCCATTTGTTTGCTACATTACGTTTACATGAACTAACAGTAAGCAATACTTAAAAAAAATTTTTTTTTTAAAATTTATCTTAGGTGATGTTTATTTAAACATTTAATTCATAAAAATATAAATTCTGCACACTAAAGTTTGCATCATCATCACAAAAAGTTGTCTTAACATTAGTTAATCCACTGTGTGAACTAATATAAACAATGAACAATTGCATTATAACATTAACAAATAATAAATGCATAAAAGACCTTTTTGTAAAGGACCCACAATTATTTTCCTTTCCATTCTAAAAGGCCAGAGAAACAGAAAAAATGCCACATCAACATCTCAAGACTTTCATTACTCCATTTGAGCATTTTACAAGTAACAAACTTAATGCGTTGAGGGGTAATGTATTGGACACTGAAGTTGAAAATAAGAAATGTCTACAAAAAGAACCAGCAATATGTCCCTGTAAATCTAAATTAAATTTGTGAAGTCTAGAAATTCAGTGACTGCATTAGGGCTCAATGGAAAATTGAGGAGGGAGGTATATTTGTTTCCACTAGATGTCAGTGTTTTCATGATCACTAAAGACTTTTTTTAAACTAGCTTAAAAAAAGCCAAATCAGTCATTATTAATGAAATAAAAGCATTGTAATGTAAATGTTGAGGCTATATGTAGACTTCTCACTTGAATGAATGTCCAAGTTATTGGTTGTAATGCACTACAAGCCTCCAGAATCTTTTGCTCAGCAGAAGTTTCACCCAGATCCTCAGTGTCATAGGTTGTCAGTCACACTCACTGTGACTGTAGCATGATGCCCAACGTGTGTGTGAAGTGTCAGGTGCCCCATGTATCACAAATGCAGTTCCAGAATCTCCATTGGTTGCTCAAAGCCATTTCCTGTCACGTTTTCAGGCAACTAGCACCATCCGAACAAGACTCCTAAAACACAGCTGGAGCTCTACCCACCCAAAGACAGGCTATAGACATTACAGATAAAAAGCAACAACCATTTTATGTGCAAGATAATAGTTGGGTGTCATGTCACTCATGATGTTAGTGAATTAAACATGCAATGTGATGGGGTTATGGGAGTACGATGTGGTTTGAACATTTTAACGTGAATTAGCCTTGTCTGAATTCCTGTGCTTCATGTACTTAATTCAAATACCTTACATCTCAGCCTTTGTGAAAATACAACCTTGAAGTCAGCATAAAACAGAAGTTGCAATAGGTTTGTCTTCCCTATCTGCTTGTTCAGTTGTGACGTAAGGAATACTGGTTCTGGGTCCATGCCTCTACTTGTTTCACTTTAGATTAATCACTGTCCAACCATCTGAGATTTCAGTGTGGAGATGAATGATCATGATTTTTCAGTAGGTATTCACCCAAAAATATAGTGTCCATCCACTTTTGCTATTGACCTTTGAGCTATGATGTACTAACAACAACTGAGGAAACTTGGGTTACAAGAAGAATATAACCACGAGGAGCAACTTTCTTGGTACACTTACACTTGAAAAGAGCCACTTCAGGCACTCGGCCATTTAGTATTATTTTTCAAATAGATTTGGGACGCTAGCTCTCTTCGTGTTGTACAAGATTTAAAACATAAAATACATAATATTTGATATGGAACACTGTCGTGTGTTGTACCCGATTTAAGATATAAAATTCACAGTGACTCAAAATAATAATCCGTTGCATTTCTGCATTTAGGGATTTGAGCATAATGAAAATAAAAGACAATTCCCCTCGATTGGTAAATTATCAAAAACGTTTGACATCATGAAAATAAACCGCGAGATTGCCACGTGCACCATCTGTGATCAGTTTTATCTTCTTCTATGCATTAAAAATCGTCTAACTAACGGTTAACTACATCTAACTAACTAAATGAAACTGCTCACGTACGACCTCGATTAAACGTATTAAAATATAACTCAAAATATCTTGACCTTTGTTTAGATGGCACTGGAGTGAAGCGGATTCTCTACTACAAAAGAAGGAAATAGGCAAATGTTTAATCGTGAATATTAAATTAGGTTGTTCCGAGGTACTCCAATGGGAGATGCTTATCTAATTAATATTAATTTATTTACGCTATCGCCTTCCTGATTGGCTTGGGCTGCTGAATATTAAGTAGAATTCGCAAATTTGCGGGGCGGCGCTCACTAATGACGCAATGTCCCCCCGCCCAGTGTGTTAGTTCCACGCTGCTGTCTTGTGAATGGGTCAAGACGGGGGGGAAAAGACAACCGGCCTCTAGTTTTTAAACGATTGGGTACCTAGCGCTACCCCTATGTCCTCCTGTACATTCGGGACCGTCAGATAACGGACCCGTCACGCGCCGACAGACCAGGAAATCTCAAATTTGGTGAGCGGCATCTTTTTGTAAATATAACGTTACTAGGCTATCTGGCTAACCATTAACCACGTCAAGGAGGTTTGCTGCTTTTACATCAGATCCGCGCGAGGATAAATCATGTTATAGATAGGCAGTGCGTTAGTGGCGTGCGTGATAACCGGTATTAGTGGATGTGAGCGTGTCTGACGCTGTAGACAGGTTTGTTGATGGCCTGTTGTTAGCATAGATGATGTGATGTTTATCATAATTCGCAGAAGTATGAGTATACAGACCTTCGTCAGTACTGTCTAGGGATGGGACGGTATGAAAATTTCATATCACGATTATAGTGACCAAAGTTATCACGATTATCAATATTATCACGGTTTTGTTAAAATGAGATGGAAATGTTCAAAAAGAACTGATGCTCACCCTGAAAACATTTGAAAATCAACAAACAAAAAAATACAATTAGCATGCTAGCAGCTATGCACTTTTTTAAGCATAAACATTATATTAACATTAACATGGAGCCCTGAGAGTGAGGTATAAGTTTTCCTAGTGCAGATTTTAATGAACCCGTCATTAAACCCTATCATTAATAATGATAATAACACTTATGGATGTGTGTAAGTTATTATGACTGAATATTATTATTATTAATAAATAATAAATCTCTCTCTCTCTCTCTCTCTCTCTCTCTCTCTCTCTCTCTCTCTCTCTCTCACTCACACACACGCGCACGCACGCACACACACTTTAAATGAACAACATATGTTGGTTGGGTCAGGGTGACTAAACTACTGGAATACTTATAATGACTGTTGTAAATAGCAACGCACTACACAGCGCACATCCATGTCTCGGATCACCGTGGACGCGATCTCTGGTTTCATTCAAATGTGTATGTCTTGCGTCTCAGTTTTGACTGTTTTGAAAATTAAATCAGAGTAATTTAGTATTAATACTACTACAATATTGTTGTAGTGATCACATTTACTTTACGATTGATTTGGACACTGTAACTTGTATAATGGATTTATAAACCGGCAAGATTTAAAAACATTAAGTTAATCACAGTTCAATATTTCATGTCCCTTAAATTATTTCTGTGGTAAAAAATAAAAAAAATAAAACTGTAATAAGTTTACTATGAATGAATACAATACATTATCCCTTAAATGTCACCCTTAATAGTTTGAATATGTTCGTTCGTCTTGGCTCAAATCCACTTGCTGTAAAACTTTTCTCTTCGCGGAAGCTTTGCAATAATTACAAGTGAGATAATGAAATAATTCATCTCCAATAAATTTGTCTAATTATTTGCCCAAGTTAGTTGTGGTATTAAGGTAAAAATTAACTCAGTGGGTGGTTGTCACGTAACGTTAGATGACTTAGCAGATTTGACGTGTTTCCCCCTTTTGCAGCGACTTTCCTCTTGCAAGATTTGCAGACAGGATGCCCATCCTCGATTAAATTGCCCTCGGGACTCTTGTAATAGCCAAAATACGACCATACCTCCGATTTTGTCCTCTTGGATGGCTGAAAAATCTCCCGTGCGCTGTCACTGACTTCCGCCATGTCTTCTCGCGCAAAAAAACAACATTGCATCTGCGCGCCTGCTGAGTGCTCGCGCCTGCGTCAGACTGATTCTGGCTGGACAGGATTTACCGCGAGTTTTCAAAATCACGATAATCAAACACGGTTTTTATGATAATTAAATTTTAAACGATAATACTAACCGCCAGGACATTTTATCGTGGTTTATCGTGAAACCGGTAATCGTCCCATCCCTAGTACTGTCTACTTATAATTTTAGGTCTAACGTTGCAGTTTACTGGCCATGAACAACCACAAATCTGAGAGCCAATGTCTTTTTCAGTTGTATTTTTACTAACGTTAGTCCTGGTGATTATATTATTATCACCAGGACAGAAAGAGCAGGCAGTATGTAGTAAACTTGATCTATTTGTTGTCTTAAATGGTAGATCATGTCTGTTTGCTGTGAAGTTTGATCTAATGGGATAGTTTTGAAAGTTAGCCAGCTTTAGCTAACGTTAGTCAGTTGAGATTTTATTTGTGTTCTTCTGACATGCTGTATATATTAGTGTGTTGTCAGCCTGACTGTTTTCTGGATTTTGAAGATTTAAAGCTTGACTTGTCCTTGATGTGATGATGATAATAATGTAATTGTAACTTTCATTCTGTCCATTAACTGTTGAATTAAGCATTATTGTAATAATATAGTGTATGCATGTTTCAGTGGCTTGTGCTAAAACGGGTGTATGGAGAACAGATAGATGTAAAACGGTGGAAAATAGCAATATAATGCAGTATAAAACAAACAATTTAATGGTGGCAAATGAGACCGATAAAAATGGTTAATGAACATTTTATTTAACACAATTCTTTATTTAAAAGTAAAAAAAAAAAAAATGAAAACAGAAACCATGCTTTTATCAATTGTTAAAGGTGCTTAAAGATTTGCAACTTTTCACACATAAAATTCCACTTATGTTGACTGATTAATTCACCTGACTAATATATATATATATATATGTATATGTATTGTATATATAACTTTAAATAACTTTTGAAGTATTAGCCTAATGGATCTTAATGAAGTAGGCTATATATAATAGTAATAATAATACAGGTTTCCTGTTGTCACAGAACACAATATTGTAATTATAATAATTAAGTTTGAAATGTTTGTAGTAGGGGTGTAACGATACCCTCATGTCACGATTCGATACATATCACGATACTGAACTCACGATACGATATTATTGCGACACTCCAAGACATATGATAAAAGGTTAACAAAAAATGTACTGTTGATTAAAATGCTAACTTTGTTATTACATTGTGGGTTTAAATGAATAGGCTTGGACTTGGTGCTTGTAACCAAAAGACAATGGTGACACCAGAATAAAAATATTCATGATTCTAAAGCTAAAAATACAGAATTATTTTAGACGAATATGCTTGCACTATGTCTCTCAGACATTTGGCAATATCAGGACCCACAAATATTCCCCCATTGCATTATTATACATTATAATCAACATTATGTATAGTAGTTTAATGTAGTACTGACACTAAAACTCTGAAAAATTGAATTTTTTGCTCACACAGTAATTTTTATTTGGGGGAACTATCCACGATACATATTGTCACTATCCACGATACGTATTGTTGCATTTTTGTATTGCGATATATTGTGGCACGATATATTGTTACACCCATAGTTTGTATGAAGATAATGTTTTTTTTTTTGTTTTTTTGTTTTTACAGTGAATACAATTTTTTCTCCTATATTTTGTCACTGAGAAATTGCCATTTTTGAGAGTCCAAAAAAAAATAAACAAAAAAAAATAATATATATATATATATAATATTATATATATATATATATATATATATATATATATATATATATATATATATATATATATATATATATATATATATATATATATATTTTATTATTATTATTATTATTTAAAAGTTGAAAAATACAGAAATTCATTGGTCAAAAAGGTTTGGGATCCATGATAATACAAATATTAGGCTAAATTATAATTAATTAATTTAAATGAATAAAGACTCTTGATTTATATTGAAATGAATGTGTACTTTTGGCCCTGTTCTCTGATGTAAAAATGAAGATAACAGTGATTACAGTAATCACCAGGGTTGATTACTCCACTGACTATCTCCAGTGACCAAAAAATCACTGGAATCACTCAGCTAATCCTTCGGGGGGGTGGTAGGGTTGTCAGATTTGACGTATTGTGGAAAGCAGCAGAACTACTTGTTATCCATTTTTCCAGCTTAGTGGTTAGGCAAGGGTTTAATTAATGCTGGATGCTGATGCCTGTTTGTTGGTGGTAATTATTTTTGAGGATGCCCCACTAGCTGAAGGGAAGTGCTCTCTGGCATTACGTCGTTTTCTTTAATGATGGGTCTGATGATTTAACTACAGTGCCTCTGTTAACCTCATTGTCTCTTGTATAAAGGGGCTTTGATCACCGAAGCCCTGGGCATTTGAAAAGTCCTGGACTGTATGTGTCAATTGAACCAGCTGTTTAGAACTAAAGAAGAACTTCTGTATAAAGTATATGAGCAACAGGTAAAGTTATTTTTTTGCATTGCTTGTGCATGGACTGTTTAAATATGTGAGTTCGTGACTGTTCCAGATATTTTAATATTTGCTCCTGCTTTCTTTAAATGACGCCAGAAGCTGTCACAGAAGGATTCGAAGTCTTGCCAACAACAGCGTTCAAGAAGTCAGGAGTCAGCAAATCTACTTTAACAAAGTCATAGCTCTCAAATTTCTTATAACCTTGAAGAGGGTTTGTTCTGCATGTCTTGCTGTAACTTGCATTTCTGCATCAGAACCAATTTTGATTGCATTTTGTGGCCATTACATTTTGGCTCCTTCTTGTTACCAGAGTTTGAAAACAAAGCACAAATGTGTGGGACAAGTTATGCACTAAAGTGAGCTCCTAATTCTTGGTCTTTTCTAACCTTAAAGGGATACTTTACCCAAAAATTATAATTCTGTCATCATTTACCCACCCTTGTCATTCCAAACCTGCATGACTTTCTGTGGATCCCAAAATAAGATATTTTGAAAATGAAAGTCAATGGCTACCAATGTTGAAATCATCAGGAACATCCAAGGCACTCTCTTTATTTCTATGGCTTGGTCATAATCAACACTATTAAAACGTCGGAATGTTTTTTCTATCCAAAGAGCACCTCAAACTTATTCACTTGAGTCCAGGAAGGGCTTCTCTACAGACATTTGGCTACCAATGTTGTTTGGATCCCAGCAGCATTCTTCAGAATTTTTGACAGAATTTTCATTTTTGGTTGAACTATCACTTTAACAATGATGATATTATATAAGCAATAGTAATGTTTGGCTGCACAAGCATTACTAAGTTGTGTAAAAGTGTCAAAGTAAAAGTGGTAGTGATAAACAGCCAGCAGGCTTGTGTGTAAGTGTAGCTGTAATGCTA